AATTTGTTCACAGTTGTTGGGATATTTTTTGCTTTCAAGAAATGCAGTGCATTTGTTTTCTATTCTGCTGGGTGTGGAATATTAAGAAGATTATTTCCAAACACATTGGTTGTTTTTTTAGGAATATGGCTCGTGATAATTAAATTTTCCTAAGTGATTGTGGTATTTAGTAGGGGTGTAGACTGTAGGTACATAAGAATATTCCATTCGGGCACACCAGTCATTGACATGGGGAAACCCAACGGAGGGTGTCCTCGAATGGCATTGATTTTTTCACTTGGCAGAATTTCGGTGACGTTTACCCCGTTTATATTGAGTATTTACTATGAACACAATAAGATAAATGTTTTCCACCTACCAAATGTAGCTTCCAGCCACAAATATGATAGCACGGCAGAGGTTGCAGTGTCATTGCAATGTTTTTGTCAATGAAGATGACAAAATATATCCTGATACCATGCATTACATTAACCCGCGCCCAGATGGGGTCTGCCGAGCAACGCGGTCTGATGGGGGGGGGGCCATTTTGGCCCCCCCTCAGATCTCGAGAACCACGCAACATAGCGACAAGCGGTAAACGGTGTTGGATAGCCCCAGCGGGGAACTACCTTGTGACCCAATTTCATTGACCTCGGTCAAACCGATGACGTCACAGGTCAGGTCAAAGGTCGAATTTTCACCGTTTACAGGCATTTCAAGAAATGCGTTGTAAAATCGAGTAAAATGCATTTCATTGAAAATCATCGATGGAGAAATGCTCTTCAAACACATATTTTGCTATTTGAGGTCACTGATACCAGGTCAGGTCACAGAGGTCAGGTCACTGGGGGGGGTCACAATATGAAAGTGTCGTGTGATACATGTTTTATGGTCCATTTTACATGACAAATGCGATTATGTGGGTCAGACAGACCTTAGGGCCAGCTTAGGTCACGTTTTGGTCATGGTCAGGTCAAGGTCAGGTCAAGGTCAGGTCAAATTAGGTCAAATTTCAAAGTTGATATTTTTGCATAAAATGGGTATCGATTCGATGCAGCTCGTCACGGGGAGTTCAATGGTGGTCTCCGTTTTGCGCTACGAGGTCTAGAATTGCTAAAAATTGAGTTCAAAAATTTGACGTCATCAATTTTTAACAGTTTTTTCGCTATAACTTGGCCAAAAAAAGAGGTATCGATCTAAAATTTGGTATGTATATCGAAGAGCGCAGGGACTATCACATATGTTCCGGTTTTTTCGAAATTCGAAATTTTTTTGGAAATTTTTTGAGTTTTTCTGAAAAAATCAATTTTTTTTATTTTTGGGGGTCAAAATCCCAAAATTTCGAAAATCCGAGATAGCAAGTTTTGTAGCGCCGTCTTTTCTCTACACAACCACATAAAGAACTTTAAAATTGCTTGTTAACTGTAGAATTGGTGAGCGTTTCAAGATGTCATGTTTTTTGCTCATTTTTGCTCGAACATGACCTCAGTTTGACCTCAATAACTCCTGACCTGAGGTGACCTGTGACTTGAAATTTTGTGTGAAGGTGTCAAATTGATGCCCGGTAAGGTACCCAAAATTTGGCGGCGCTGCGCGCCGCCGTTTTCCTCGTTATTTAAGAAAAACCACAGGGGGGGGGGGGGGCCAAAATGGCCCCCCCCATCAGGGCGCGGGTTAATAAATAGTCCTTAACCCGCGCCCCACTGGGGGGGGGGCTATTTATAGCCCCCCCTCCCGTTTTTCTGCAATAACTTCCAAACCGCTTGACGTATCGACGCCAAACTTGCAGCACCTTCGGCTGCATCGATTTGACACCTTGTGTCAAAATTTGAACTTCGTACCTACCATATGTCGGCCGGAAATGACGTCAGAGTGACGTCATGTTCGGCCGATTTCGACGCAAAACATTGAACCACGGCAATCGCTCCCAAGAGCTCAGTTTTTAAGCTAGATCCAATTTCTTTGCATGAGCTGACTCAGAATAGACTGCGCTATCAAACTGCTATCTCGGATTTTCGAAATTTTGAAAATTTCGAAAATTTTATATAATAAAATTCAAAATTTATATTTATACATTTTTTTCAAAAACTTTTTGACTTTTCGAAAAAAACCGGAATATATGTGATAGAACACATTATTATGACTAAGCCTAGCAAGTTTTAGCTAAATATCTTCCAAAATGGCCAAGTTATACGCATTATTGCAAAAAATTAACAATTATTAATTTTTCAAATCAATTTTTCAGCACGAATTTGACATCGTACGCCAATATAAATAGCACCATCGTGTTCCTGAGCTCAAACTGCATCCAATAGACACATTTTTTGTTGAAAAATTATAACTTCAAAATTTGACCTTTTTTGACCTGAAAGTGACCTGACCTGAGCTAAATTTGACTCAAAATGACCTGGAATGACACAGACGACATCAAATTCGAAATATTTGGCCTAAATGGACCATAAAACATGTGTCACGTGACCGACGGATGATATAATATTTTCGTGACCTGTGATGACCTGACCTTGACCTGAAAATCAAAGTACAAGTTTGGTACCCTCAGAGTATCTAGAGCATCTGTTCACGAGTGTGTGAACCAAAAATGAGCCTGATCTGACTTGTAAGACGGCGGCCAGAGCCCAAAAAGTGAAGAAGCCAAAATGCTAATAGTTTTTACTTTGACCTGACCTGTGACGTCATCGGTGACCTCGAGGTCAATGAAATTAGGTTTCGCTCGACAGTTTTTTCCGGGGCTATCAGATGCCGTTTGAATTTTGACGATCGGCCCAGTAGTTTCGGAGTTAGGAGGGGGGGCTATGAATAGCCCCCCCCCCCCCCCCCAGTAGGGCGTGTTATACGCAGACCCCAGTGGGGCGCGGGTTAAGCAGTCGTAGGGGTGCAATATTTCAATGGAGACAGCTTTGATATTTAAGGGTATTCAGTTTCATTTCAATTTTATTGATGAGATTGTGAATATGTTTGGTTATCTTCTGTATCTGTCTCATTATTGGGAAGCATTAGGTACAAGCGGTTCCATCTATTTAACTTTGTTTGTTTATTTGCTGAAGGTTTTACTGATCTGTAAATCACTGATTTGTTTTGTCTCGGACCTTTGTTTGTTGCTAACAAGGAGTGTTGAGATCACGGCGACTACCGAGTCTTTGAGTCACAACATAAATCATGACTCAATGACCGCATGTAATAGTTTTATACCGCTGTGAGTAGTCATGCGTCCTGTGACAATCGTCTTTGTGTCCGAGTTCCCATTCGACTAGAAACACACTTTTGCTGGCGGTGATTGAAGGCGATGAGCCGTGTCCTATGTGAGTCAGTCGCCCTATTCTAACCACACAGCCACCGGGCAGAGACGGGGGCAGAGGGGGGGGGGGGGTGAGTCACACCCCCGGCTCGGTGACCAGCTCGGTCGCCGCTCGCCGTGAGCCCCAGAACCGGACCATGGTATCGCCGTGCCGCGTCCCGACGAGAAGAGACCAGGAAAGGCGTTATGGCCGGCTTTGTGAGGCGAGCCATGTCCGTTAGTCGAGCCCGCTGGAATGGCACGGTGAATAACGTGCCGCGAGCGGAAATGCCGACGCAAATGACGTATTTAAGCACTAAATCGGAATGTACGCGGATGACGTGTGATCGTGATTAAATTGAATGTCGTGAGATTATTCATAAGTTGGTAGGTACCTATAGCTTTGTGAGTGTCATGCCCAACCCATCATTTTTATTCAATTGTCTAATGTAAAAAAAAAATGAGTAGCAGTTATAATGATGTTGAGCAGGGATGCGGAGCCGGAGCCGGAGTCGGAGCCGGAGCCGCCGGAGCCGGCATATTTTGCCCGGAGCCGGAGCCGGAGCCGGAGCCGTGGAACAATATAGCCCGGAGCCGGAGCCGGAGCCGGAGCCGCCAAAAAAGGGGGCGACTCCGGCTCCTTTTTATTTTTTGAAGAGGAAAAAAATAATTGACCTAGTTCGGTTTGACAGTACAAGGCAGTAAAACATATGGTACTTTACTTACGTCATGGGCCATCAAGTGAATGAAAAAAGCCGAATATCCCCAGTATCCCACAGTACGCAATCAACTTCTTGTCTGCTCCTCCCCCCCCCCACGTCTACTGCATCCCCAGAGCATGAGGAGAGGACCGGTCATCAGGTGACGGCCATTGTTTTCAAGCCAGTGCAGTGGACTGCGACTCCCAGCACCGTCTCTTCCCCTCCCCCCCCCCACTCCCACCCCCCAATGCACCCGAGACTGGTGTCAGCTTACGATGGTTCAGTGAACTCCAATTCGCGGCGACTGCGTTTCCAATGCCATCGCTTCCTAGTCCTTTGTTCTGCCAGTTCTCTCCGAGGTGTGTTTGCGCGGGGACGCGGTGAGCCGGTCATGGTAAGGAGTAACGCGTATAACCAATCCAATTTTTCTTCCACCCGTATTTAATTGATTGCATAGGGGATGTACTGAGTCGGAGCCGGAGCCGCCGGAGCCGGAGCCGCCGGAGCCGGACCATTTTACTCGGAGCCGGAGCCGGAGCCGGAGCCGCCACAACATTTCACCCGGAGCCGGAGCCGGAGCCGGAGCCGTTTTTTTCTCCGGAGCCGGAGCCGGAGCCGGAGCCGTCTGAAATTTCCACGGCTCCGCATCCCTGATGTTGAGATATTGTGCTGAGACTGCACTGAAACGTTATGTGTCCTCTTTTGCTTCAACTAAAGATGAACTATAGAGAGCGTGTGATCGATGAAATAAAACAATTTAACTACGAAGTAGCGTTTCTCACAAGCGAAAAAAAGAAACTATTCACTGCTGGTTAGCATCCAAGTGATGGTCGATTATTGATGCATTGTGATGATGGATGTGCGAATCGACTTTCCAGAGTAGCGTGTTTCTTGTCATTTACTTAGATGGATAATTCGTTGACTGTGATTGCAAAGTGTCGCGTCATCCCTGCAGTGCCATCTTCTGAGAGGTACCGTCGCACAGCTTTCCCGGCGGCCCACTTTCTGAACACAACCAACCGACATGACACTTCGGATGAATTTAATATCACCGTCACATGCCATACGACCATCCCGAGTCGACATAGCGTGCTCTCACACAGCATGAGGCCACGAATGAGTTTGTCGGGTTCGTCTGCGCAGCAAGATATGTGTGAAAGCCGCGCGCCCTCCGATCGGCTCGATTGTATCTCGGGTCAAGACGATCGCCGGGCGGTGGCGTCTTCCATCCATCAGGGCCCGTCCGTCCGGCGGACACGAACAAAAACACTGAGCTCGGCACTGACGCGCCCGACGGCCCGCCATCCGTCCCCGCGGCCATCAGAGACACAGGCAGGGGGGTACGCTCCGGCTGTTTAGCATTACGAAAAATGGTGACAGACGTTTGTGGAGGATTGTCGACGAACTCTTGTTCCGCGAGCAGTACTTACACGCTAGCGGAAAATTCACCAATCAGCGCTCGGCAGTACTCGACGCTGATTGGTCCGACGCTCGTGACGAAATTGCGGGGGACCGCAGTTATTCTCTATGGACCCGAATAGGCTTTTGGATTTCGGAGGAGTTTCTTTAAAATTATATGCTGTTTGGAGCTGTTTTCGAGTTGAAATATATTTCTTATGACTGTTAGCTATATAATGACACCATAAAATCATGATTTTAATAAATATTACCGATGTAATATCGGCCGAAAAGACATGCTGTCATGGCACGGACTGCCCTGCGGCTGATGTGGGGCCCCTAGTGCCAGCGTATGGTAATAATGGGTTGACGAAGGGTTATTGGAGAAACTTAGAGCCCCTTTAGCATTCAGTATAGGGTCATCAGAGGCCGGGAATGTCCATCAGGGGTCTGAGTAGGCCTGTCATAGGGGCATACATGACACATCATGGCCCATGGGTCAATGTAGATCCATTAGGGGCCGTTGAAGGGCCATCATTGTTCAGCGTGGGCTCGCAATTACCTCTGATGGGCATATGCCGTGCCCCGATGGACTAACGCTGGCCCCTGATGAACCATCACCAGCCCCTGATAGGTCTACAAAGCCCTCTGCTGGGTCCAAATTGGTCACTGATATGCCCAAATGGGCCACTGAGATACCCGTACAACATCGGGCACATCCCCTGACTGCACCTGCTGGACCAATGCCGTCCCCTCATGGGCCCACCACAGCTCTTGAATGACCTTTTCAAGTCCCCTGAAGTGCCTTTATTGGCCTAAATGGCCCCTGATTGACTGATGTGGTCCCTATTGGTCCTATATGGCCCCCATGAGCCCTCAACGTCGGCCTAGACAGCCTTACATTATATGCCACTGGGCCCTGTTGGGTCAGCACCGGCCCCCGATAGGCTTGCACACTGGACCCACCGGGCCTATACCGACCCATGAAGGGTCTATGTCGAACCCTCACGGACCTCCGATGACCACACGCCGACATGTGTGGCCCCATCAGCAGTGGTCCGTCTATCCCATGTACTTACGGTCTTTTTGGCCGATGTGACACCGGTAGTATATAGAATGTCATGATTAAATGTCGTTATTACACAGTCAAAAGTCACAGAAAGAATATCCAAGCTCAAAAATGGCCTCAAACCCAACAAAAACTGGTATAAATCCCCTTCAAAAGCCGTAAGTCTATTAAACGCCATAGGGGAATAGCTACAGTCCCCCGCAATTTCGTCACGAGCATCGGGCCAATCAGCGTCGAGTATTGCCGAACGCCGATTGGTCGATTTCCGCTAGCCTGTAAATGCTGCTTGCGGATATAGTTTTGAACAAGTGAGGGTCGCGGCTACTAATTATCGCTTGTCACCACTTTTTCGTCGGGAACGTTCTACCTGGTTTATATAGCCTTGGACACAGGTAAAAACGTCACACCGGCCGCGGCGGCGCCCCCGCAGTCGGCACAGGGCGCTGACCGGCAGCCCCGGCGCCCCGCGGGCGCCCCCGCCCCATCAGAGATCACTGCTGCGCGCGGCTCGCGTCACTCACGTCACTCGCGTCACGGCACCGGTGACGTCACGTCAGTACATCATGCCGGGGTGCGGCGGAGTCCGATAGAAGAACACATTGGGGTTTCCGGCGGAGAGCGTGCGCTCGGCCGGCGCCCGGTACTGCGACTTGATGTGGTCGATGGTGTTGTACATGTTGTTGTCGTCCTGCCGGATGTAGCCTGGAACAGAGGAGTGCCGTGGTCACGACCCTGATAGCATCTCCAATCGAACACTGCGGGAAGCGCCAATTACAGACGCTCTATCACCGGACTGCGCTCGTTTGTTCAGTGTTACAAAACATACACTAGGGAGACAGCAACATATTGCATGGGTGACTTCAGTACAACTGTGAGCTGACGTCATTTATATCACAATATGACGCCATTGGTATCATGGTATGACGTAATAGGATCGTTCATCTCGGGTCACTGGATCGCTGAGATGACTGGCGGAACGCTGCAGATCAACACCACCATGAGCAGCAGCACAGAAGGTACGCCAGCCGAGCCATCCCACGTACGCAATCTGCATCACAACCACCTCCCAACAAACAAAGCCCCGTCTGGAAAGGCCCGGTAGGTGTACAAAGGACCAGGCTAGCGACCCAGCCGAGAAGGGGATGGAGGGGCATTGTTCAGGCCGGGCGGCTCCCCTTTACTTCCAGCGTATGCCGTCTACGGCGCCGATTCCAGCAGGCTCAGCGGTACGTGGAAATCAAGTTTATATTGCGTTCGACCCTCCGCTCCACCCTCCACCCATCTGCAGTGACCCGGAGTCGGGACCCTCCTCCGGCCGACTCGTGGCGCCGCGCTGGTCCACTGGGACCACTGCTGGGAAATGGTTCCGGATTGGTCCCGGCTCCGGCCGGCGGTCCACCGGGGACGCTACGGGCCCGGCCGGGATGACCGGCGCCCTCACATCGGCAGAAAAAGCCAGTGCCAGCGCCAGCGTGACAAACCGAGCAGGGCAGGGATCGGACCATCGCGGAGGGGGAGGGTCGGACCGACGCCCGGCGGTGAGTTACTGCGCCAGGCCGATGGGGACTGTCGGCTCTGAAATACTGCCCGCCGCCCCTGCCGCCCCGGCATCCCGCTCCGCCGGCCGGCACCGGTCAGAGGTGGCGCCCCTGCCCCGTTCAGGTGAAACCAGTTTAAATCAGGGCCGGGAGGTCCGTCCTACTAGGGCGCGGTGGGACTGTCCCCGCAGCACGGGGTCATCCCGCCGAGCGCAGCTGAGGAGTGGGACGTCCCACTCCCATGTATGAGCCGATTTTTAATCACTTAAAAAGCTTGTTGATTGTTCACATATATAGGTTCGTTAGTGTAGCTACCACACCTATAATTGAGCACGTCAGCCAGACCGATTTGTTTTACCGGTGTTACAACAGACTGGCAAGGCGGACCTGGATTCCATTCCGCGTCAACCTTGACACCAGGAATCGTGCACGTTCACTGATGATACACAGATGTAGGAAGACCTGCTTTGAGACGAGATCCGGCAAAGAATGGAAAATGGGAAACAAGCTGGAAAATACAGCGATGTGTCTAGGCACCGATCTTGCAGCGAATGAAGAGGAAAAACGAATGGTATGGAAGACTAGGGGAGAGCGGGGCCAGTTGAAACACGGGGTCAGATGAAACATGGCTTTATTTTCAAAAGTATGCAACATATGGCGTTGCCGACACCACTGCGCATCCGCGCTCGACCACTTCCTTTGTCAACGGCGTTTGGGCGGCAAACGGACGGTAATTTTGATTTGACACTTGTTTTTGTGTTTTTGAGGGGAGTTTGGGAGAAATCGTTTTTATGAATATTTTGTGATATCTCATATACCTTTGTTTGCTGAAAGAAGAACTCCTGGCTCCGGAATAACACCTTATTTGGCCCTTCATTCAGCATGATGCCGTCCCTCCAGCTGGTTTGACATGTGCTTTACGGCGCGTGCGAGATGGCGGGAGCGGATGGGGTCAATTGAAACGCTTCTCTGAGGGTCAGTTGAAACAGGGCCACAGGCCGTTTCAATGGACCCCGGTGACCTTTACAATGGTTATTGTTCAGGGGCTGTAAACATTAAAGGAAATAGTCCACCTTTGAAATGAGCTTTTAAACTGAAATAGTAGTTTAATATAGCTCAATTTTTGACCCCTTTTTCTCCAGCCTTTTGCTTGAAAGCACACTATAGCCTGAGATATTTCTCATTTTCCTCATCCGCCCATTTTACCATAGTCTATGTACTTTATGTCACCTATTATGAGGAACTTTGCACTTTTAGCTTTCCAACGACCTATTGAATGTAGCATTTGGAAAAGTAAACCGGACAAAATATCTTCTTAAGAAAGTGGCCTTAAAGAGGAAAACATCCCATTGTTAAAGGGACCCTCCCACCTTTAAAAAAGTTTATGAATTGGCATGAAAGTGATGTCGCTCGGTTCAGAAAGAGCGAAAACGAATATCTACCAAATTTCACCGAAAAATATTCACCGGTTTTCAAGATATTAGACTTTTACTTTTGTTTATTTTTTGGGATCTCCGCTGTTCCTAGCGACTTTATTTAAAAGTGCGGCATTTGTTGCGCGCAACGCAGCATATACCACCGCGTGCTACAAAACGTTTTTGTCAAACATTTAACGGACGTTCGAAAGCCTGATGACGTCATCAGATTTAAGTGCCTATACCAATACATTGTGGCACTTATTTGCACAGATGTCAAAATCAAACTCAAATTTCTTTGTGATGAAGTAATTGCTGGAGAAACGGTTTTCACGGCACTGATTTTCAAAGAACGTCCATCAAGATGGCTATCTCAACTCAAATCTTATGTTAAGGTGGGACAGTCCCTTTAATTAAGGATAGGTGCAATTGACCCCATGAGCTGGTTCAATTGACCCTCGCATCGGGGTCATTTGAAACGGGCGTAGAGCTGTTTTATAAGCATGCGTTTGGCAGCAAAATATGTTTGAAACATAATTTTACATATCTTAAAATGAAGCCAAAAGAGCATATTTTTTCATGGCATTGTGCATTTTTCGATATGACAACTAGATCTCGCTGTGCATGTCAATATATAAAAAGTGGTTCAACTGGCCCCGCTCTCCCCTACCTGATAGGAAAGGGGACAGGGAAGGAAAGGAATGAAGAAGCAGAGAGAGAGGTAAAATTGATGCGTAAAGACACTGCACGAAACTAGAAACAGCGAACATGAGGGCGACAGGAAAATACCAGCAAGTTCTCAAGCAAATAAGATCTGCCACAACTTTACAAAGTAGCATGCAACAAGCAAGCATCTACAAGTTGGCTGCATGTTGATTGACATCGGGTCGCCGCCCAGACCGATGTGACGTGGGGCGACGCGGCGCTCCCTACACGTGTCTGTTGTGTATAAAAATCGTCCCGGTGCCGGTCCGACATCGGTTATCGCCTGCGACCGTTAGCGGCCCGGCGAGTCACGGCCGGCCCGCCGCGCCCGCCGGCCGCCACGGCTAGGGGTGAGCTCAGCACCGAGCGAGGGGTGAGCTCAGCTCGAGTCACCCGTCCGGCCCACTCCCACACAGGCACATCAGCGCGGGCCGCCAGTCGAGCTCCGAGCAGAAACACATCACTCACCCACCAATCACAGAATATGGATGGGGAAAACAGAGACGGCCTTCAGCTCTGGGGCCTTCCGCGAATGGCGACGTCGCTGCATAGCTCACAGTCACTGGTGCAGACAATTGGTCGGTAATCGCCCACCAAACGGTGGGTACTTGGCTAGGTGACAGTCCGTCCCATTCACTCTCTCCTTGACCATCATTTGACCGCAACCCACTCTGGCCTCACGGTGACCAGATGTCACCTGGACGTCGACCACTAAACGGCTCCGCCGCCCAACACTTTCCTCTTCGACGAGGCACGCGTCAGTACCGCCCGACTGACTGCGATGAGTGTTCACCGAACCGTGACCCGGCCGCGCCCGGTAACACCGCGTCCTCCACCAACAGACTCCTCAGCGGACAGACTCCAGTCAGACGTTCATCACGGGCTAATGGACGGACGCTGTCAATAGGCGGCCGTGAAAGGGACACGCCCAATGTGAGTCGTTCGTGAGCAGCCATCCATAGTGCGCTCAGGAGGGACCCACCAAAAGCTAATCTCGGAATCTAGGTACTTTGGTGACTGATTTTCCGCCATCCGTCTTAATTTGTCTGTATTCACTCGTAGGTGACGACCTTCGCTCAGCCTGCTTCCAATTTCCTGTCGGATTGTCCTCGCCACCACACGGCTCCTCTTTCTACAAACCCTGGGCTGGGAGGGGCCGCGGAAGTTGAGCGAGATTCGTCTCACCCCGGTGCCCCCTCCCCCGCGGAGAGGCGTGTGGCGCGCGCATGACCGGCCACGGAGAACTTCACGCTTTCATCGCGACTGCACCGGGCCGACCTCGCCAACTGTGTCTCCCTAATTCTCGACACGACTCGGCGGCCTACTGTGTTACACAACAACTGCACATGGCTCCGTTCCGCGCGGAGAGGCGGGAGGAATCACACTGGAGGCAGCTGAGGGGAGCGCAGGCTGAAGGAAGTGTAACTCAAAGAACATTTATCACACCGCTGTGCTTGTATTTATGATGGCTGTGGTGAAATATATCCTATCCTATAAATAAAAGACGTTTGTTTAACGAAGCAAACATGTCATATGCAGACATGTACGTGGCTCTGTTTAAGTACTAAATCACAGTATTATTAAATGTTGTTTTGCAGGTTTTATTCCCATGGTGCACAGCCAGAAGGGCCATGTATGGTCATGCCCAAGTTGCTCGCCCCATAAAGCTGTTAGCCCTTCTCGGCCATAAATAAGTGAAGAGGATTACTTTGCATCTACGGAGCGAATGTTGGCCAATGGGCCGCCAATAGGGAGTGGGGACGACAACGCTCAATGGCTCAATGTAGGTCTCCCAGGGGCCGTGCCGGCCTGTGAGGGAGCGGCGAAGGGGCTGCCTCTGGTCCATATACCTGCACTAAGCTGTCGGGACGAGCTGGGCTGGGCCGCTAGACCCAGCAGGTGCCCTAGTTAGAGATCGGGGCGGCGATTACACGACACTTTGAATGCCGCTCCATTGGAGCTGGATCTCTGTTTGGATTGCACATGCAGGTTCGCTCGCTCCTGTGGAGCTCTTTTCCAACAATTTGGGCCACATGGGTCATCC